GTCACAGCCTCACACAGCCCCCTGTGCCAGTCTGGAGCCACAGCCTCACACAGCCCCCCTGTGCCAGTCTGGAGTCACAGCCTCACACAGCCCCCCTGTGCCAGTCTGGAGCAACATTCAAGGAGTCTGCTACTCCTGGCCAAATTTCCCATTGGCCCTCACCAATCATGGCCTCCTAATAATCCCCCTCTCTGAACTGGCTTCATGTCTCTGCTCTCCTCCCCACTGAGAGCTGGTGTGTGGGGAGCGTTCTGGCACACTATGGCTGCTGTCGCATCATCCAGGTGGGGCTGCACACTGGTGGTGCTGGAGGGGGATCCCCATTACCTGTAAAGAGCTTTGAGTGGAGTGTCCAGAAAAGCGCTATATAAGTGTAAGCAATAATATATTATTATTAATGAAATTAATACCTTCCAATGGTTCCCAATCACAAAAGGATGCGAGACAGAATCTCACAACTACACAGCAGCAATACACACCAGTATACACCAGCACACAAGTACACACCAGTATACACCAGCACACAAGTACACACCAGTATACCCGAGTAGCATCACGATTTTCTGAATCACCAGCCAAAGATCACACGACACTCCAGTCTGTTTCCTTTTTTACTGCAAGCAATATTTTAATACAAAAAGAGAACAAAAAAAGTTTTGTTTTTCATAATCTTTTTCCGAGACAGTTCGTTAATTGGTGCACGCTTGGGCCCCGGCCCCTCCAGGCACTTCGGCAGCGTGGAGGGACAGCTGCTCTCCGGGCCGAACTGGGCCGAACCGGGCCAGAGGCTCTACACAGGAGGGGCCTGCTCTCTCGCCCGAGAGACACAGGCACATCCGGGCGTCAGAAACAAAACAATAATACAAATCGGTATTACACTCCGGTGAAGATATGATGCTAAAATAATAAATAAGGTCTTCCTTATTCAAAACAAAACAAAAACAATTGAAAAAGACACTCACACGGCTTTTAAATTAACCAGATAACAGTGATAAAAGGATCAGTAACATTCACAGCTGCTTGCCATCTAAGAAGCAGGCAGATGACCCATCGATGTCTGTAACACATTGTGACTGAGCTAAGACTCACACCGAACTGTCAGGAGTCGACACACGGAGCCCACGGCTGTCCGCGGAAATCCCCCACATCCACCGAGCCAGCAGGGCTTCCGGGCCACTAAGATCACCCTTGAAAAATATAAATACTAAAAACAGAAACTGAAAGATACTGACAGTACGACGTCACTGCCTGCATGAACCACTGGGCTGGCAGGAGTGCAAGTACATCATGTCCCGCCGTTTTCCCAGCCCTCCCCCAGTCTCTATCCTCTTTCCAATTCATCCAGAAGGCATGTTTTCCCCACGTTCCACAAAAACGGGTCTCTGTGTTCCCCCACAACACACACATGCCATGTGGCATCTGCAGTCAGCCGCACGGCCTGATGGGATAGCTCTCATGCCGCTCGGCAGGAGTACCGAAGACACAGAGGACGCACACGCCCTCGCTCTGTCCCAGTGCTGCTGCCCGTCCCCGGGAGGCAGGAGACGCCGGGCCGCTGTCCGCTCCCTCCCGCCTGCTGGGAACAGCGCACAGAGCCAGGAGCGGGACAGGAGCGGGGCATCGCCGCCGCTCCCCAAGTCTGAGTCTCCGGCGGGAACGTTCATGGCCTTCCACAGCTGAGAGCCGAGAGCGGAGGAGCCAGCGGTCAGTCAGTCCAGTGGTCAGCGCTGCAGCGGATGAAGGCCAGAGGAGGAGATGAAGGCCGAGGGTACAACATCAGAACAGTCAGGAAGAGTCCTCTGGGCAGTGCAGAGCTCGGCTGAGCCGGGCTCCTGCCCCCTGTCCTGCGTGTGTGTGCCACAGCCGTGGTCTCTCTGCAGCGCCCTCTCCTGGCCCTCCCGTGACTATCTCTTGCTGGCGGGGGCCTTGGGGCTGGGCGTGGCCGAGGAGGTGGAGGACGAGGACGCCTTCTTGGAGATGGTGGGGATCTTGGAGGGCTTGGTGCCACCGCGGCGCCCCCCGCTGGTCTCGGAGGCGTCGGAGCACGCCGACTGCGTCTCCAGCAGGTCGAAGTCGGAGGCATCGCTGCCCCGCCGGCTGCTGGCCCTGCTGCCCGCTCTGCTGCCCGCGCGGCTGGACGAGGCCGGCGCCCTCTTCGAGTCTGGAGGAAGACGGAGCGAGAAACGCTTGTGTGAGGAAGCGCAGCGAGCACAAGACCCGTGAACACCAGGGGGCGCCACCAGGAGGCACTCGCCGGCCGCCATCCTGCACCCAGGGCTGCTGGACTCACCGGGGCGGCTGGGCTTGGCGCCGGAGGGTGACGGCTGGCTCCCGTTCTCTCCCGTCAGGGACCCCCGGCTGGAGTGGAAGGTGGGGCGCTTCAGCTTAGAGCCCGAAGACGCCTGGGACAGAGAGGAGAGTCACTGTGCTGCCTGTGTGCAGGGCTCCAGAGTCAGACAGTCACACACTGAGGGCAGGGGGAGAGTCACCAGGCTCCAGGAGGACAGTTACTGTACTGTACTCGTAACCTGAACTGTACAGTGCAGGTAAGTGTGTTAGTTCAGTGTTGGACAGTAAAATGCTCTCTAGTGTGCTTTACTGCACACTAGAGAGCTTAGTGTGTAGTACGTGCTGTTGGACGTGTTAGTCTGTCGGCGATGGTTGTGTCAGCACTCTGTCGCAGTGTTGCTCCAGCACGTGTGTG